TTTTTCCTTTTTTGATGATAATAAAGGATGTTATAAACAATAATTGCTGATTTTTTTTTTTACTTTTTTGATGATAATAAAGGATGTTATAAACAATAATTGCTGATTTTTTTTTCTTTTTTGATGATAATAAAGATACTATTGAGGAGTGCTTAAGTGATTCTATTGGTTATGATCTCTTTTTCGTCCAAGAAGAATAGTATTGAAGTTCTTTTTGTAAAAAAGAAAAAAATTAATATTTTCTTTACTTTTTATAGAAGGAGAAGATTAATGAATTAGTTGTAGACCAACCTTATGATGTAGACGCCGATAAGGAAGTGATGATGTTGGTTTTCCTCGTTTGGAAGAAGAACTTTACTGACCAAAACATGGTCATTTATGTTAGTATTTTTTTTGTTTCGGCTTATTTTTAGCAAATTGGTTGTAATGCATTCTAAAATAGGCATCTGCTGGTTGACCTTCACTAGAGCATTATGGCTGGTTCATCTAAGGAAAGAATGGTAGGAAATATTGGAAATGATTGTCTTCTTACTACCATTGGGGCTGGTGACCTGATTTGGGTGTTAATGGAGGAGATATTACCATGATTGGAACATTGGGAAGATAGTGAGAATCAGAAGCGACCATGGAAAGGAGTTTGAAAACTCAGTTTTTACAGATTTCTGCACCGAGCATGGAATAGCTCATGAATTCTCTGCTCTGAAAACGCCACAGCAGAATGGTGTGGTAGAAATGGCAAGGGTTATGCTGAACTCCAAAAGGCTGTGTTTTAGATTATGGGCAGAAGCAATGAATACTGCGTGCTATACAATCAACCGGGTGTATCTTAGACCAAGTACACAAATTACTCCCTATGAAATATGGAAGGGAAGAAAGCCTAATCTCAACTATTTTCATATTTTTGGGAGTGAGTGCTATATTCTCAATGATCGAGAACAGCGCAGCAAGCTTGATGCTAAAAGTGATGAAGGAGTATTCCTTGATTATTCTACTAATAGCCGAGCCTGTCAAGTCTATAACAAGAGAACTCAGACGATCATGGAATCTGCAAACGTAGTGGTGGATGATCTTAAAGAGGCAGTTAGAATGACTTCTGTTGATGAAACTCTCAGGGATGTTGGAATTGAAGAACAAGAAGTTGAAAAACAATCTGTCGAAAACAGTGTCACAGACAATGTTGCAACACCGTTTGAGACAGATTCTCTAGAAGCTGAGACAAAAGCATTTGACGTTGCAGATCCAATCACCAAAGAACCATCCTCCACAATAAAAAAGAATCATCCAGCTGAAGGGATTATTGGCAGTAGTGATGAAGGGATACGCACCAGAGACAAGCCTAGGTTAAACTACCGTGAGATTGTAAGATATGTGTGCTATACATCCAAAATGGAACCAAAGAATGTGAAAGAAGCTTTAGAAGATGGGCTCTGGATCAATGCCATGTAGGAAGAATTAGGACAATTCGAAAGAAATGATGTATGTGATTTAGTTCCAAGGCCGAGTAACTCCAATGTCATTGGAACCAAGTGGATTTTCAAGAACAAGATAGATGAACATGGAAACATTACGAGAAACAAAGCTAGACTTGCAGCACAGGGGTATACTCAAGTAGAAGGTGTTGATGTTGATGAGACATTCGTATCGGTAGCAAGACTTGAATCGATTCAACTCCTGCTATCAATTGCTTGCTGATGAGTATAAAATTGTTTCACATGGACGTGAAGAGTGCATTTCTGAATGGTTTCTTGAATGAGTTAGTTTTTGTTGAACAACCTAAAGGGTTTGAAGATCCACAACATCCCGACCATGTTTACAAACTGGAGAAGGTGTTGTATGGGCTTAAACAAGCACCAAGAGCATGGTATAAACGACTGACTGATTTCTTGAACAAGAAGGGCTACAAGAGAGGGGGAGTTGACAAGACTCTATTTATCAAGAAATTTGGCACAAGGATCATCATAGCTCAAATATATGTGGATGACATTTTGTTTGGCTCGACATCACAAACAAAAGTGGAAGAATTTGTTGAACAAATGAAGAAGGAATTTGAGATGAGCATGGTAGGAGAATTGAACTACTTCCTTGGTCTGCAGGTGAGACAGATGAATAATGGAATTTTCATTTCACAAAGTAAGTATGGAAGAAATCTAGGAAGGAAATTCGGTCTAGAAAAGGCTAGGCACATGAGAACACCTATGGGCACGAATGAGAAGCTGACAAAAGATGAAAGTGGAGTTTCTGTAGATCCAAGCCTTTATCGAAGTATGATTGCAAGCCTCTTGTATTTAACTGCGAGTAGGCTAGATATATGCTTTAGTGTTGGTGTCTGTGCTAGATATCAGGAAAATCCCAAGGAATCTCATTTGACTGCAGTAAAGAGGATTATTCACTATGTTAGTGGGACAGTGGATCATGGGATTTGGTTCTCTAGTGATACAAATTCTAGTCTTGTTGGCATTAGTGATACAGATTGGGCAGGAAATGCTGATGACAGGAATAGCACCTCAGGAGGATGTTTCTACTTCGGGAATAATCTTGTCACCTGGTTCAGTAAGAAACAAAACTTGATTTCTCTATCAATCGCAGAGGCTGAATACATAGCCGCAGGAAGTTGTTGCACTCAATTGTTGTGGATGAAGCAGATGTCGGAAGACTATGGTATTTCACAAGATGTTTTGACAATTTTCTGTGATAATACTAGTGCGATAAATATTTCAAAAAATCCCGTCCAACACTCTCGAACGAAGCACATTGACATACGACATCATTTTATCAGGGAACTGGTGGAGAACAAGACTGTCTTAATGGAGTATGTTGCTACCAAAAAACAGTTGGCGGATATCTTTACAAAGGCTCTTGATGCTATTCGATTTGAGTCTTTGAGGTCTGCACTGGGTATTTGTGTTATGTGATCTGCTCGTTTGAACAACAATAAAAAAAGAAAAACAACTTGTCGTTTTAATGGTTTAGTCTTTAAAGAGGATGGTTGCTACTTTGTCTTTGCTGCTTCATTTTCTTTTGGTTCTCACTTCACTTCTCACGGGAAAATTTCTACACCCAATTCCTCTTCGTTATTCTTGCATTAATCATCATCTTTCATCATGGTTCGTACTCGAAGTGATCGGGCAAAGGACCTCGACAAGGATGTTTGAAATCTACAAAAGGAGTTTTGTGAGAAAGTTTCAGCCGTGTTTGCTCAGTCGTCGAAGAGAAAATCCTCCGCTCCGCCGTAGGAGAAGCCTATCTCTTCCAGTTTCTCCATTGTTGCTCACCGGAACTCAGAATCTGCAAAGGTACTAAGTCCTACACCCTTAGTTTCAGTTTCTCCCATGGCAATTGTGCCATTTGTGCCCCCGTCAGCTCCCAGTATCTCCGAAGAGTTACTCACAACTCCTCGAGGTTCTCCGACCTCCGGTGGGTCTGGTTTGTCAAGAACTGCTGCTCAAGTGTCTCCACCACCAGCAGTGTCATTATTGGGCAAGGAACTACCTCCATCAAACTCGTCCAAGCTCATCAAGGATGTTGCAGATCAGATGCTCGATGAAATGCCGCAGCGAGAGTCTCTTCCAAATTTAATGAAATTTCCTGCGAGACCGGGATTTCCATCTTAGACTTCTCGTTTTCCTATGTATCCTCAAGAAATGAAGCCTCGGCCTCCACCAGGTTTTGAGAAACAGAATTCTCCTCAGCCATCTTCAAAGAAGCGGTTTCGTTCCTTTAGTGATGAATCTTTCAATCCATTGGCTCGTTCTGCTGATGATGAAGAAGAGGTTGAAGTGGAGTAGGTGAGCAAGCCGAATTCTCAACAAAAGAAATCAAATAAGTAGCAAAATGCAGCCCCGTCTATGTCAAGCAGAGTTACTCGATCCACGGTGAAGTGTCAAGATACTGCTCCGAAGGTCTCCGTTTCATCTAAAGGAAAACCAAACAAGGCTCCAACTCCTGATAAATCCACTACATTCTACTCCAACTTGAGCGAGAAAGTATGGGCTTTTGTTGTTCAAAGAAAAATTTTATCTGAAAGGTTGGTACATGATGCTGAGTTTAAGGAGATAGGAGTTTTTGAGCTTCTTAAAGAGCAAAATTTGCTTGGAACTGTGACTAAAGTGCAGCCCTTTGTGAAAAATGTTGTTCTTGAGTTTTATGCAAACTTGGTGAAAGAGATTAATAATCCTGCCATTGATATGTTTCATAAAGTATTTGTCAGAGGCCATTTCTTTGATTTTTCTCCTGCTGTGATAAATGAGTTTCTTGAAAGTCATCACCCGGTTGTGGATTTTGAGGCCGACTATGATGTGATTATTGCTGAAATTACTGCCAATGTACGATGTAAGTGGCCTCCAGCAAAATCTTTCCCTGCATTAGTGTTGAGCCTGAAATACTCGGTTCTTCATAAGATAGCCTTGAAGAATTGGATGCCGAGTATGCATGCAACAGGAGTAAAGAAGCCACTAGCAAAGCTACTATACTTGATTGGTACAGCTACCTCCTTTGATTTTGGTCAGTTTGTATTTAATCAAATTATCAACAATGCTGAAGCTTTCACTACTCATCCGGTCCTGTCTTTCCCGTCTCTTATTTATGGGATTTTGTCAAAACAAAACAATGTCAAGAAGTCTCATGAGTTGTTTGAGAAGGGGTCGGGGGTAATTAGAATCTCGAAGAAGCTGCATTCTGGAAAGTATGTGGATGATGTTCAGGGGGAGCATAGTTTGGATAAATAAGAAGAAGTTGATCCAAGAGTCGCACCAAGTGTTTCAGGTGGTGTTGCAACAAGTTCGTCGCAGTTAACAACGGCGGTTCTAAATGCAAGGACTGCTCAATTTCTGTCAAAGGAGCCGCTACATCTATCCACTTATGAGACTCATCTTCTCCAAGAATTGAAGCGGGTTGGATGTAAGAAGAAGGAAATTACTGCTATTCTTGGTGATATTCAGTCTTCCTCTGTGGCTGCAGAAAATGATGGTGCATAACTCTGTTTTGTCTCTCTTTTTATGTTTTTATATTTTTTTGAACTTTGGCTGTATTTGTCAAAACGGGGAGAACTCTTAATTCCACTAACCCCTTAGTTGGAGTTTATACTTTATCTTGTAATAGGTACTTTTTGTTAGTAATGTTAGTTTTGCCAAAAATAGCCAAAAGGGGAGATTGTTAGTGTTTTTTGTGTTGGCTTATTTTTAGCAAATTGGTTGTAATGTATTCTAAAATAGGCATCTGCTGGTTGACCTTCACTGGAGCATTATGGCTGGTTCATCTAAGGAAAGAATCATGAGAAATATTGGGAATAATTGTCCTCTTACTGTCATTGGGGCTGGTGACTTGATTTGGGTGTTAATGGAGGAGATATTACCATGATTGGATGTGCTTATCGTGGATGATTGAGGGTTGGTGATTGTGTGACGGAAAATACAGTGGTATGAGCGTTTTGAAATAGTGCAGAACGTGAGATAATGAATATGTACTGAAAACAGAACACTGGCGTTTGTTCATGACATAATGAGATTGGGATGCTAAGCGTCGTTTGATGTGTTGCGATGAATTGTTAGAACACTTTTCAAGTTGGTTCTTCGGGAGAAGATTTATTTGGTTTGTGGAGGAAACCGTCAAGTTGAGTAGTGCTCGCTGATCAAGCTTTCTAAGGAGATTTTAGGCAACGGCAACATCGTCAAGGAGGGAGTCGTTGAGTGAGTAAGACCGTTCGGTCCTTTGTAATCTTTTGAACTTAGTGGATTGATCACTGTCAGGGCGTGGTCCCACAGAGTAGGTGTGCGCACCGAACTGCGATACCATTTTCTAGTGTTCTTTACGTTTCTGCATTATTTTCTTGCATTACTGTTTTGCTGGTTTAATTTTAGATTCTCTGTTAAAAATAGTATTACAGTAAAGTGTTGTAACACTCTCTGTGACACCAATGACAAAAACAGACCTAATAATTTAATATATGAATTTGGATGTCGGTCTCAATATTGGTCCTTTTGATATGGTTACAACTAATAAAACAAATGCTCTGAAAGATATGGTTACAACTTATAGATCCATGTTTTTTTTGTTTTTTTTAGTCTTTCACTAGTGGGTTACTAATTTTGATACAAGTATGGGCGTTCATTTGAGGATTTCAAAGGGGTAGTTTCGGCTTGACCTTATGACCTTATGACCTTAGTTCACTGCTTGTTATTTTTGGCCTCCTGTTGTCTTTGAGAAAGTTTTTCGTTTCTTCTTGTTGCAGATATTTGTGTGTTTTTGAGTTTTGCTCTATTTTGTCCCTTTGTATTATTATGGATTTCTTTCTTTTATTTAATAATATAGAGTGAGGAGTTTGGTGTATGATAAGAGTTTTACAGGTGTCAACCTATTTAGGATATCTTGATTGCCATAAGTAAATTATTCTTTCTCATTGTTTATTTAAAATAATACAAGTATCACGGTCCTCAATTAATTGAACAGCTGGTGATGCTTAAACATGTAATACACATGGTTCTACTTTATACTAATAATACAAGTATTATGGTCCTCAATAAGTGAACATCTGATGATGCTTAAATTTTCTTTATATGTGCTAAGAGAATGAAATAATTGGTATAAGAGATTATTAACACTTTATCATTGACAATTGTATGGCTGCTTTAAAAAAAGATTAAGATTATTGTACCCTCAGGTTCTTGCAGATGAATCAATGGAACTTGATAAATAGAGAAATAAATTAGAAAAAAAAAATAAAATGTCTTATTAACTCAGTGCTCAATATGACGAGAGATTTAAATTGAGATCGAAATCTTCATGGGGAAATCGTAGTTAATAACATATTTATAAAATTAAATTAAGTGAATAGTATTTTTAAAATAATTTAAAATAAATAGCAGTTTATTATGTAAATGATTCATTTATGACTGATAGTTTTTTTTTTACGTGAAAATTTTTTTTATCTGTCATAAAAGATATTATAAAAATATAACTTGCAGATTATTAGTGATATAAGATAAATTTATAAACAACTACCACGACCACATGAGTACATAATTAATAAGATTTGAACACATCTCCTTCAAATCCGTTTAAAGTTACTGCCTTGTTTTCATCGTCAAATTCCACCTTCTCCTTGAACACCCCGCTGGTCCCATCTAATTAATAGTTTTTACAACAAGATCATCATGAGACAAAACATGTAATTACCCACAACTATTTATCTTTTCGGAAAGAATAATACTAGGGATACTAATTCTAATAAAATTCTCGTACTAATTGATTGATATTTAAAAGATTACCACATCAATTATTAATAGGTGTTACAAGAGTTCAGATTAAAGAATTTGTGTCCTCTAGCATTATTATTTGAGTAAACCATGATAATAAGGATTTTTGTTTTTGATCGGCAAAAAACATATTAATAAAGAGCCACTAACGGGCTAAGATACAACACAAATTCAAAGTCATAGACACAGGCGTCACATAGATAACTAGACAATATAAATGCATCCCTCATTAACCTAACAACTGAGAGAACTCCTACAATAAGTGTGGCACGATAATAAGATTCGATAACATAGAACACTATAATAAGATTTTTAATTTTTCTTAAGACTTTTAATGAAGGTTCCGGATTGTCATAGTGTTGCATACGCGTATGACACGACGGTTAATTTCAATTTCCAGATAATAAGATTCTTGTTTCCGGATGTTGTAGTACTTCTCAGGACTTGCGTTGATTTCAATTTCAGTCTCCACCTTTCCCTTCATATTCGTCATTTTTGTGCTGTATATATTCTAGAAGATGATTTTAGAAGGATTTTTCTGTTTAGCTAAAGATATATAAGGTAAAAGCCTGCAACTTATAGATATATCTAGTCTCAACTGGCCTTCCTTAAATAATCAAGCGATGACAAATTATTATTGCTTATGTTTGGAGTTAGTTTTGTTTTGGTTTTTCACATTTTTCGAGAAAGAAAAAATAAAAACAAGAGAGAAACGATGTTTGGCACAATTAAAGATAAAAAACAGAAATGAAAATGATATTTTGATTTAGTGTAAAACGAGAGAGAAATGAATAATGACTTTTAGTCGTTTTTCATTTTTTGTTTCCATTTTCTTCCCTCTTGAGCACAAAGAGAAAGAGACATTAATGAATTTTTTTAATAATGAAAGCAATCTTTTGATAAAACTACTAAACGCATTTTCAAACATGATTTTTGTCTGAGATTGAAAACATTTTCATATAAAAATAAAATTATTTTGGAACGAGTTCTAAACACACCAATTATGTCTTCCCATGCTTAAGAATATAGACATATTTATTATTCCAGCTAAACAAGAGAAACAGAATTTTCCAAGTGCAAGGAAAAAGTATTGTGAGTCTTTTTTTTTTTTATTCACATTTTTAATTGCTTTAGATCTTGAAATATGTACGGGTAAGGTTGTCCAGATTATTACTTTTATTAAAAAAAAAAGGACAAGAAAAAAATTGGGTTAATTGATGGATCAGATCTGTTCATATGAACATTAGAGAAACCCAAGACCATGAATTTCCAAAACACCCATAAGAGAAACAGATCATGCCAAATATTAATAAACGCTTGGAAATATTTGCCAAACTGGAAATACACACAGCAATCTCCTCAAGACATACATATTTCATATTTAGGTCACAAAACGATGAACAAGCGCGCGCGCGCGCACACACACACACATATATACATACATATATATATATATATATATAATATGTATACACGCATACTTCTTTCATATATGATCACCACCTAATTTATTTTACACGTACAATAGTATTATGAGCAAACCACCATAACCTTTTCTTATCAAACCACAGCTTGAGTTCCAGCCTCAGCTTCATATTCGAGAAGGTGATTTTCAAGATCTTTCGAGATATCAGCGAGTAACTGAAGCAGTGTGTGGGGGTCTATAATTTCACCATGATGCTTTTCATACTCCAGAGTCCAGTGCACAATGCTTCCCTCACCCTCAGGTTTGGGGTTAGCTTGGATAGTGATAATGAAGCTCTTGAAGTGCTCCATAAGGTCTCCTTCAATCACTCTGAAAGTGATTAAATTCTTCTCGTCATCTATGGCTTCAACTATTTCCTTCGCGACTCTCGGCTTCCCATCTAGGGGTTTTATACACATCAGGTTTAGATTTCACATACATAATAATATTTTGAAATTCAAAGTGAACAATTAATACTTCGTTTGTTTCGAGAGTTCTGGCCTGGTTCTGGACCATGGTTCTTTGTTCGCTACAGTATTTTTCTCTCATAAAAAAATTAAATTTCAAAAATCAAAATCATGAACCATGGTTCTGAACCCATAAACCAAACGCCACATAAAAGATGGATCATGAGGTTTATCCATAATATTCTAAAATTATATTACATTCAAGTGGTCATGAATATTTTTGAACCGTCTAACTCCCATTAAAATTTTTGTTAAATTTTGGAAGAGTTGATTTTCATATATTTTCTTTTATATGCTAAAAAAAACATGCACTAGTATACCATCATGAGATGAAAATATCAAAATTTCTACCATTGAAGAAAGGAAGATTACGATTTGAGCTTATTTAAAAATTATTACCATGGAAGTAGTTCCAGGAGATGACAGAGCCCACAGTCCCCCATTCACCTTCATGTATTTCACAACCATGAACTTTGTCGCTTGAATGATTGGATATGTGGTGAGGTCTGTGCTTGTATATGTCATGGAACTTCTTGGGAGAAGCTTCGCTTTCTACATCTGTCTCCAGCTTTCCACAGACATCCGACGACATTTTCTTTTTTTTTTCAATATGATAATAGAGAAGCCTAGGAACAAGAAGGATGATTTGTTGGGAGAAAAAGTATTTGCACTTAACACCCTTTTATAGAAGATGATCATACCATTAAGAAATTCCCTGTAGCTTTAATTATTAATTCCATACTATTACGTGCTTTGGATTTAACGGGATTATTTTAAAGTGCTACATGATCACGTGAATTCCTTTAACATTCTATTATTGTAGTCGGTGAACATCTAATCTTATAAAGTAAGGATATAAAACATAAATACCTAAACTTATCTTATCAAAATCATGTCATGCTCTACTGAGGTAGCGGAAGCTTAATTAAAGGAAGAACGAAACGGTAGAATAAAAGGGGAAATCAATTAACCTGTTGATTTATACAGAATATCAAAAAAATTATTTCAAAAACCATTGATTTACACACAATACTAGAATTTGGAAGAAGGAAATTTAAAAGGAAAATCTGAAATTTTCTTAAAATTGGACTGGTTTTCACTATAGGAGGACTCCATATAAATAGGCAAAACAGAAACTGAAAATTAGCTTATTCTATAATTAAAAATAATGAAGCAAAATTTTCCATATTTTGGGCTGGAAACTAAAATTAAAACTACTAGACATAAGGAAAAAAGAAAATGCAATCGGAACTGGAGTCCGAATTTCTTCGGTCAACTTAATATTAAAACAAAAGTTACTAAAAATGGAAAAAAGCCCTTTTGGGCCTAAATGATAAAATTTGCCCGAAAAACGTCTCACATCACGGCAAAGCGACGAGTTTTGTCCGTCGGACCGTTTCCACTCAGAAAACACATATGTTTCATCTAAAGCCGACATCGCCCAAAAAACTCGTGAAAATAAAAAAATTTACATGTCATAAAGACTTAATCCTTATGCACCGCATTATCTATCCCCTTTTTGCGAATACTATGATTATCACTGTATTCTTAAAAACTCCCAAACATTAAACTCGCAAGCTAAAACTTTTCAAAAATGGCCAAAGTACCCTTTGCGAACTTGTTATAGGACAGTAAAAAAGAAAACAAATATTTATAAGTAAATTTACTCAAAACACAAAAAATCTAAAATACTTCTCAGCAAAAATAAATAAATAAATAAATCAGATCAAAGAGAAATTTCAGATTTTTGCAAAACCTAGTTTTGGTCCGGCATCAGTCACCAGGGGGCCAAGATAATATATTTTTGAATATTTATTCAGATGCTTCCTGTAAGTGTTAAAGTATACAGTAATGACAGCTATAAGATGAATATGTACGGCTGTCGGTGAAGCTTGTTATTAATTTTGCGTTGCTAATAGGTGTGCAATTATTTGGGCTTCTGATGGGTAATATTAATGAATACACAAAAGAACCATCAATGCTGTGTCGTACGTCCTTAAAGGATTGGGGTTCTTCGTTAATGCAAAGTTTCAAGATTCTCATTTCGGTAGGTCCTCTTTTTAAGTTTCGGTACGTCCTTTTAAATTTTTATTGTATAGTTTTCTTATCTATAACTTGATGAATTATGCGTTTATCTCGTATTGAAAAATTAGTTTTGCTACTTTTTTATTATTCTTAATTAATATTAAAATGATCTGGGGGCGCGTCTTACAGCTATAATACTTTTAGATTTGTTTCTTGCAAGTTATGAATTTTTTGTTTATTGAAAATTTAATCGTTACGTTGCCGAAAGTTTATTAGGAATTAATTATAGTTGACTAACTGAGTCAAAGGTCTTTGAGACTGATTTTGTTAGTTCTTAAATTCAAAAACTCAATATAACCTTAAGCGGTGCCGTAAGATAGTTTTATGGCCATTTGTGAGATTACTCTAGGACTATTACCAAACTCCGTGGTGCTCATTCATTGGGCACAACGGACATTTATTACAATAAGTGGTGCTACTACAAATACATGGACTCTCAATGGGGTGCTCATGTGTAGGACTCGCTACAGTATTTTCTCGCACAAAAGTCATACGTAAATCGAGAATAATTGTGAATTTGTGAACTAAACGTCAACTTAATTATTTTAATGTTCCCATGTTTATGTAACACCTAGTTTTTTAACTGACAAAATACCTAGAAATAAACGTTAGGAATTAACTTGAATAATGTTATGGTATTATAATTAATTAATTCTAATATCACGTTGAGTTATATTTTACAAGTGAACGCGACGAGGACTCAAGGTGCTAAAAACAAGTTCATGTCATTTTAGAGAAATTATATATGTGTTCATTTTTTTTTATGATTTAATAAATGTATATATGTTCATGATATGATGTACTTCATGTTATAATGCATGGAATTAAGCGTCTTATGAAAATTCTAAGTTTTTTCTTGATTTTCCTTTTTAGACAAAAGAACCATTTCCATGACGTTAATTTCCAGCTCTATTTTGAACCTTTAAAATTCTGAAATTATTCCATTAGTTTACACAGAGTTGATCCCCAAATTAATGTCAAATTAATCATTTTTTAATTTTACATGATTTGTGAGTCAATATGTATTTTCACTCCTACTCTCTCTCTCTCCTTCTCTCCCTCTTTCTTCATCTTTTCCTCACGTTCAAAACACCACAGAGAGCCTCCAAGACCAGCCATCAAACCTCCATCATTTTAACCCTTTTTTGTAAACCTTTGGTTCTTCTAAGCCACAATCAAGAAGATTTCAAGGTATGTTCCATCTCTAATTTAGTATTCATGGTTAATAGGTCATTTCCTTTGGTGTTGGGTGTTAGTTTAAGGAGATAATGAATAATTTTCTTTGGTTAACGATTGAGGGATAATATATGTGATTTAGGTGAGGTTTTAATGTTCATGGCCGTATATTTTATTTTGGGATAATTATGTATGACACGGTTATTATTTTAGGTATTTTAGTATCTTCATAATTCGATAAATTCTAGAGAGGCATGCTAGGAATTATGTTATTTTCTTATATTGTTGTTTCCTTTTTATGTTAGAAATTGTGATTTTATAGAAACATGAGTTAGCATATTATTTTTGGATTTGAGTTGCAAGAGATGTGAATTTTGATGGTCATATTGATGTTTCTAGTTCGCTTTGCCATGAGATTTTTTATAGAATGTGTAATTTGAATGTTTTAGGAACATGTCTTAGGGCTGGTTAAAGTATGCATATGATTGGAATTGATTTTATCTTTAATGAATTTATTTTGGTATTTTCGGAGTTTATTGTGCTGAAAGTTTTCAGCTTATATGATCTGGGTTTAAAACAGTGTTTGAGGGACCAAATGAACTCCGTTTTTAACAAATAAGGTGTCGTTGGAAAGATCTAGATGTCTTTTTTCATTTGGTACTATTTCAGATCTTTTATAGTTTTTTATGATTTGTTATGAGTTTTTAAAGAGATAAAGGTCAGGCTGTCAGTTTTTATAAGATTTGGAAAATTGGTGTTATTATTGGGTTTTCTTGTGTCTTAATGATATTAAATGATGGAATTGGCCTTTTAGGCACTGTTTCAAATATGATGGATGGATTTGATGAATTAAGGTTTTTTAATTTTACTATATTTATGATTTATGGCATGAACGGTTCTAAAGCTGAGCATCCGAGGACCTCATTCATCGCGTCACCGATGAGAAATTTTAAAAGGTTAAGTAAGGCACTCATGTAAGTACACTCTCACCTGCAACATGAATTGAAGAATTGAGAAGTATATGATTTTGATGTTTATGATGATGTTATGACAACTTTAATATTTCATATGATGATGTTTGAAGAAAAATGTATATATGTATTTTTATGTTTTTAAATGACGTTGTACACCTTTGATGGTGACCGGTGTGCAGTCTTATTGTCACGGTTGGTATGAGATTTACTACCCCATGCTTTCCGTGGCTAGCGCGCTATGATGGTACAACGTCGGGCCCAATATATGATAGATTTTAAAGTTTAAATATGTTTAAAAAATATTTATTCTCATGATGATGTTTATTGTTGATGAATAAAAATGTTCATTTAAATTTGTGAGAATAAAGTGTCTTCTAAGCCCTTGCTTATATAAGTTATTTCATGTTGCAGACAATCTAAAGAGTAAGATGTAGCCATGGAGAATCTTGGAGCAGATGCGAGCGGTGTGTGATAGGAAAACAGGAGAAACGATCATTAAATGAAAGTGCTTAATGTTAAACAAAGTTTTTAAATATTTATTTTTATTGTTTTGGAACTTTGGTTTATGGTGGTTTTAATTTGAAGAATATTTAAGATCTTTTTTTATTTTATTTTACGGTATGGATTTTTTTTTATAAATGAGTTGAACCTAAAGATTATTTTTCATTGATGAGGTTTAAAATTTTTAAAGTTCTAATATGAAAAAAAAAAATTAGGATTTTTTCAAGTTATTCAAAGTAAAGTGTTTCAAGCTTAATTATTTTCTGCATTATTTTTAGAGGTAAATGTTTGAAAGTTAAGATAACTGTGACGGTCCGTGAGGGGTCGTTAGTAAATGACAGTTTGGTCTCTATTCTTTTTTTAATTTTGACAAAACAACCCTTACCATTGAATGCGGTTATGGGTCGTGACAATTAATTTCTTTCTTTTATTTTTTATTATTTCCTTTTTTTTAGCAATTTTGAATTTTTCATTTAAATTTAGAATATTTGGATGATGTGCAGTGTTTGGTCTTGGGAGAAAATGATTTTCAACAGTATCAGTGTTCAAGCAAAGGTTAGAATTGTTTCCGCACTGATAGCTAGTTTGATCAAAAATGGTTTTGTTTGGCCATTTTCAGGGTTTTTTTGTTTTATTTTTTGTTAATACAGGGTCGAAATTGTGTAAAATTAAGAAAATAGTGGGTTTTCTTTTTATTATCAACTTAGTGGTTAATTACTGATTAAGTACTTAATCTATCACTAATTAATTTTAGTTATCACTGATCATTGGTAAGGAGGAATTTATTCTACTGATCATGACAAGGAAGAATCAAGAAAATACAGTAACGGGAAAATTTTAGCTTTGTTTCTAATAGCACTTCACGTCCTTCATTAATGACGACGGGTTTGGAAACAGCTTCACCGTCTAATGAATTGAAGGAAGATGCTTCTTACGATCAAAAAAGTGTTGAGGGATACATCTTAAGATTTATCGATACTGATGATAAATCATA